GAGGGCTGGTATCTGGAGCAATGACAACAAGGCCATGTTCTGAGGCAGCTTGATGATAACAACCAGATTTTGATATAAAATTTTGTTCTGTGCAAGTTAAACCAGAGAGCCAATACAGGGCAGGGCACTTTCCAGTTTCTACCTTTGGTGGTAAGTAGATAGCAAATTTCATTTTACATTTTAGCTCCACACTCTCATGTTCAAAAAGTTTCTGCAATCCCCCGAAGCACTTGTTGCTGGAAATCTGCTTTAACGCCATTCTTCTCCTGTTTAATTGGTATTTGCTTGTCTGTGCCACAGGATAGATCCTCGGGCGCGTGGGCGGCAGCGCGACGTCCACCGGAATTTTTTTTTAAACATATCTGGTATATAGGGTCTGGCTAAGTAGCTCAGACTCCTCATGATCCTCCTGTGTCAGCACGGAGACAGTCCCTCAAAGAAACCTTAGTCACAGCAGCTCTTGGTAGGCAGCAGCTTTAAGTTTCATAGTTCTGGGCAAGATAGCTCAGTGGACTAAGTGCCTGCTTAGGCAGGCACAGGGACCCGGGGTTCGATCCCCAGCACTACATGCCACTCCAGCCTGGTCCCCGGTGCGCTAAGCTGGCCACTGAGACTGGGTGTGGTGGCACAACCTGTAATCCCAGCACCGGGGGGGGGGCTGACACAGGAGGGTATTTGATTGCAATGTAAGACAAACGCCAGCATCTTCCTGCCACTACATTCTTCTGTTCTCTTCAGCCACATTTAAGTAGCTATTCTATACTCTAGCTTTGAAAACGTATTACTGAAAGGGGGATTTATCAGTTCCATTTACACAGAATGCTTCTTCCAAATTTATTTGGTACAATAATTACTAAAATTTACTGAGCATTTATCATGTTCTAGGTACTCTTCCAAACCTTAACAAATATTGTCAGTCCAGTCCTCAATCAACCCATGAGGTAAGTTAAGAGTATTCTCCACTTGATAAAATGACAGAGTAACTGTTAATCATTTTAGTAGGTTTCATCTCCTTAGACGTTTTCTAGGATCTATAGAGCTACCCCTCCACCCCACTCCTCTTACACATATAATTTGTTCACAACTCATTATTAAAATGTAGCTGTGAGCCAGGCGTGGTGGTGCACCCCTGTAATCTCAGCACTGGGAGGCTGAGGCAGAGGCTCACCTAGAGTTTGATGCCAGCCTGGGCTACATAGTGAGTTAAAGGTCAGCTTGAAGTACAAACCAAGACTCTGTCTCTAAACAACAAAACAACAAGACGTAATTGTAGCCAAGTGTGGGGCCTGGTGCCTGTGATCCTAACACTCAGGAGGAACTCTAACAGTCAGAACCAGCCTGAACTACACAACAACTCAAGGTAGACCTGGACTACATAGCTAGAACCTGTCTCAAAAAACCAAAACACAAACAAAACCCTTGTTTATTTCTTTTGGTTAGTCCGTCAAAAAAGGAACCCTAACGTGATCACTTCCTACGTTGCCACCAACACCTGGGTCCAAATGCCCCGATGCCAATGCTTGGCAGAACGCTAACCATATCATACACACGAGCACCGCAAAGATAAATGCCACACAACACGGCAGAACGCAAGATTTACAGCCAGTCTTGGACCAATACGAAGCATCTTACCAATAAAATGTTGTGGTGACTCTGCCACCCATTCCGGATTCACGAATAATTCTTCAAGTCTGGCTCCAAAACCACATCTATACTGAAATCCCCTGAAGAAAAACAAAACAAGCCACCAAAGTGACAGCTAAGAGAGAGGCCAGAGCAAATAAACCCAGGCCCTCCCCAACTCCCTCTCGCTGCAGAAGTGGGCTCGCCACGCACACACAGGAGCCGGGGTGGGAGAACTCCGCTCTCTCGGTCACCCCGGAAGGGTACTTCCGCTCACCTAGCGGCCCAGCTTCGCGCCCCTCACTCTTGCGGAGCCTGCTTCTGCCTGCAGACGGAAAAGGGCGTCTTAACAACTCCAACTGAGACGTCCTGGGATCAAGAACACAGCTGAAATCCCGCGTTTGAGAAACGGCTGCTCGGCCGCCACCGCCCGCCAGTTTAAAACCATTTCCCGACGCGCTCCGCGGCCCGACGCAGGCAGCCTCTTCCAAATGGCCCGCCAAATTCGTATCTCTGAAGCAACTGAGGTCGCCATCTTAACTGAGGGCAAGGCCGAGAGACTTAATCATCGCGGACAACTTTCCCCGCTGCGCTGGTTCCTCTACAGCTTTGTACCGGTGCAGCGCTATCCCTCAAATTTCCGCCCGTAGTAAGCATGGCGGCAATACGTCTCACGTGATTGGTCGAATGCTTTCAGCCAATCATAGGGCTTTACGAAGGGCGGGTAGAAGGAGGCTATCGGCGGAGGCATTTGGGCCCAAGCGTGGATTGAATTTGTTTGCTCCCTACTTTGAAAGTCTCACTGCAGCCGTTCGGTCTAGGAGACTTGGAACGCGAGACCGGCGCTGTTTTCCGGTTCTGCCTGTAGTCTTTGAGGAAGCGAGGAAAAAAAGGACGGGCGTGCGCTTGGTGCCGCCCCGACCGCGCCTGTGATCTTGGGCTCGCGCCGGGAGCTGCTGCGCAGGGCCGTTCGTTTGTCACTTTTAAGAAGTGGGAACTGATGCATTGAAGGCCCCTACAGATCTGAAAGATGTCTCGTTTGTAGACTCGTGTGCTCACGTTTTGCGGAGAAGGACTTAAGTATTAGCAAGCAGAATTTTAAGGGATTTCTGTACATTTCCAAAACTAATATTTCCTTACATCAGCAGCGACAGATTCGTGGTTGTATCTCGCCGTCCTGGGCTTCAATATGTACTTCTCTTCTTGGCTAAGTCAGCTGTACAGGGGTTTCTCCAGACCCATCGGAAGGACCACCCAGCCCATCTGGGTTCCCCTCTCCAGAAATCTGATGCTGGGTTCACAGAGGAAAATGCCAGGTGAAAACAGCGAAGAGCTTCCAACCTGTTCGCTCCAGTTGTTCCCCCCACCCCCAGTTTTAACGGGGTAGTCTTATGCATAGACGAGATCATTTGCTCTTTCCTTACAAGGCAGTTTTTTTCCCTTGATTTTTAAAAGCGAGATCACAAAAAGGTAACCACATAGGCTGTTCTGCATTTAATTGATACTAATAGCCTAAAAAATCTCACACTTTCGTAGTTGTCCAGCATACAAGTAGCTGTTACGCACTAGGTTTGTACCAAGATGAAAGTTATTTCTGTAATTCCTAAGATCTTATTTCAATTGACAAAGAATATATAATACTTAAAATTGGCTAAATAGGATTTTAGGTCAATGCAATGTAATGATCCAAAAAATTTCCTTAACATAAGGCAAATTTTTAAATTCACTTGGCTTTTGACACATCTGTAGATGAATTTAATAGAGGAATGAATTAAATTACATTATTTGGTAAATTTGGCCTATTGACCTGAAGCATCTAAGATGTGATTTGAGAATCTTAAATCTGCAAGTAGTGTATTTTAAATCTTGCCTTTTAAATATTTTTTTTTTTTTTTTTTCTTTTCTGTTTTAAGAATTCAGTAGTTTTGTTGCCCGGACCAACACATGTGGAGAGTTGCGGCCTTCTCACTTAGGCCAAGAAGTCACCTTGTGTGGATGGATTCAATACCGAAGGTAAAAATGCAGTTTAAGAATACCTGGTGTTTGTTTCCTCAAAGCCATTCTAAAAGGTTACTAATTTTTAGCCAGTTAGAAGAGTAAGCTTTGTAACTCTCTTGAGACACAGAATTTACTAAATTTGCAATTCTGTTATTGCTTTGAAAAAGCTAAAAGTGCTAGTGACATTTTCTGTTGAAGGGTGTAATAATGGAGATTGATCTTCCAAGGGAGTAACTGACCTTGGATTTACTGAGTTTGAATAATTTCCATGACTACCAGCTGGGAATGACCCAACATCCTGTAATCCTGATGTGAAGCTCCAATAGCATGGGTGGAAAGAGCAAACTTAAGTAGAGAAGAGGCCCCAAAAGCACGAATAGTGGTTTCTGAAGGTCCAACCCCATATATTTGTTGTGCATCTGTATATTTCAGAACACATCTGAATATTACATTATGTTGAAGAAATCCAAAATGCATAGATTGTATAACCATCCTAAAGCATGTGTCCCAAATGGGTGGATAGATATTTACCCTGGAAATTTGGTGGCTTTGTCACCTGCGCCCAAAATCTGAGGGTGCTTTTCATATTTTTTCCTGGCATTAAAGACAAAATGAGAAATGTAGATTGAATGTTGAAATTTCTGGGACCATTTAATTATAAAATTGTTAAATTTGTAGTTTGAATTCTTCCAGCCAAGTTTGTACTATAGCTTTTTAATTATTTTAAGAAAAAGACCTATCTTTCTGTCTCTGTATTTAGCTGGGGAGATGGCTCAATGGAATAAGCACTTGCCTGGCAAACACAAGGGCCTTAGTTCAATCCCCAGTTCCGCAAAAAAAAAAAAAAGAAAAGAAAAAGAAAGAAACTATCTCTATATTTAAAAAGTTACCAAATAGGTGTTTCTTTATGGTTTTGTTTTGTAGTAGAAGGATTGAACCCCAGGCCTTGCACATGGTAAGAACTCTGCCACTAAGCTAGATCTTCAGCCCTTTTTAAAATTTTATTTTGAGAAAAGATCTCCTTAAATTGCCTCTCCTGGACTGCAACTTACTATCTCCTGCCTCAACCTCCCGAATAGCTGGAGTTGCAGCCTTATGCCACTGTATCCAGCACTCACATGTCTAATGTAATAAAATGTTACCTTTGGATTTTGTGAAAGTTTCCAAATTGAATAAAATTATTTATGAGGACTTAAGTCAACAAAAATTTTATACATTTCTATTTCAATTTTTGTTAAGCGTGAACTACCGTGTAGTGAAAATTGTTTTTAAAATTTTTTAAATCTAGGGCTGGTGAGATGGCTCAGCAGACTAAGTGCCTACTCAGGCAAGTGCAGGGACCAGGTTCGATCCCCAGCACCACATGCCCTGCCGGCCCCGCCCCAGGGCAAGCTGAGCCAGCCACCAAGACTGCATGGTGCTGCACACCTGCAATCCCAGCACTGAGGAGGCTGAAAACAGGAGGATCACTGCTAGTCCAAGCTGTATAGTGAGGCCCTGTACCAAATACATAAAATGTTAAAAAATTAACATGCCTTGTTAGTAAGCCATCTGTAGATTAGTAAGTCATATAAAAACCTGTAAAAAATTGAAAAATGATTTATTTTTCACTAATAAGCAACATAGTTAACAATGACATGAATAGCACAAATGACTACATTATTTGTAGAGAAAAAATATGAGAAATTACAAGGAAGGGATTTTTGTTATTTATTGTTATTGTCTGCTTAAATTTTGGGGTCAATACTCATAAGTGAAATAAACCAAGAGCACACATGTAAACATTGTATTGTCTCCCTAGCGTGAGAAGCTGGAAGAGTAAATAGGATCTAAAATGTATAATAGATTTTGTAAAATGGGAAGAAACTTCAAAAGGAAAGAGAAACTGGGATGGGGAAATGGAGAAAAAAGCAAAGGAAAAGTAAAAAAATACATAATATATAAATATATGTTTATGTATTATTATATATTATGATTATATAATTATAAAATATAAATATATCTAACATAACATCATCACACTACTAACTTCCCGTAGCTCATTGAAAAGAAAGGTTTGTGCTAATATTGTTTGGACAATGAAATGCTGATATCTTCTACTCCTGAGTAATTCAAAGATACCTAATGTATTAACTATTGTTACCTTCCTACTACTTTGGTTTTTTCTCTTTAAATTTTTTTTTTTTTTAAATTGGAGGTCAAAGATTTTATCCTAAAATAAATACTCATTCTTTCCTCATTAACAGGCAGAACATCTTTCTAGTTCTGAGAGACTGCCATGGACTTGTTCAGGTTGTCATTCCTCAGGATGAGGTAATAATTTTCCTGTCATTAACTAAAAGCTGCTTTCATACTGCTGGGGAGATAGTTCAGTGGAATAAACACTTGTCTGGCAAGTGCAAGGTCCTGAGTTCGATCCCTGGTACCATCAAAAAAAAAAAAGAGTAGGTTTTCATGCTATGGCCAGGGTAAGCTGAGTAGCTTGGTGAACATGCTTAAAGTTTTAAACTTACAGGTTTATCATTAACAAAAGCTGAGGGCTGGAGACATAGCTCAGTGGTACAATGCTTGCCTAGCACGTGCAAGGGCCTGGGATCAGTCCCTGGCATTCAAACAAAACAAAACTGAGAACTACTGTAATCAACATTTAAAACATGCCAAACTTGCCTCACCTCTTGGCCCATTCCTGTAATCTCAGCACTTGAGAGGCTGAAGCAGGAAGATTTATGCAAGTTTAAAGCCAACCTGAGCTACTTATTGAGGTGAAGGCCAATTTGAATTACATTGAATGACCCTTTCTCAAAAAACTAAAAAAAAAGGGAGGGGCATATTAGTGCACACCTATAATCCAAACACTCAGGAGGCTGAAACAGGAGGATTTCCTCACATTTGAGGCCAGCCTGGGCTATAAAGTGAGTTCAAAGCTAGCCTCGACTACATAGACCCTGTCTCAAACAACTCTCGCAAAACAAGAAAGAAAAAAAAAAAAAAAGAAGGAGGAGGATGCAGTGATGAGCATAGCTAATCCTAGAGACATCTTTTCACTTTGTACTCTTATTATTGCCGTTGAGTTTAACTGCCCCTAGGAGTAACCCTAGAGATAGTAAGGGAAGCACCAACGTTATAGCAAGTCAGCCGTCAATGCTAACATTTTCTAAACCGTGGATTTTTAGTTACTGCTGGTTTCTTTTATGTTCATTTTTTGAAACTGTCTTACCTCTTGTTTTCTAGTCAGCTGCCTCTGTGAAAAAGGTTTTATGTGAAGCCCCGCTGGAATCTGTGGTGCGAATTTCTGGGACAGTCATTTCCCGTCCTCCAGGACAAGAAAATCCAGTTGGTATTTTAGAGTCTATCTGTGTGCATTTGCAGTATCTGTGTACCATGCGCTCCTGCGGGACGTCAGGCCCTCGGGCTCCCTAAATTGTACACGTGAACCTCCAGACTTCAACGTCTTCCTCACAAACAGACCTTATAAATACGCATCTAGGACATCTGTTGATGTTGACAAATGCATGGCAGTATTTCAGCATGAGAACAGATCAGTTACAGATAGCATAAGAGTACCAAATCATGTACATTTATACTTTTTACTGTACACTGTAAGCATCTATATATTTTACATAACTATTACTGCTGTGCATTGTATGCTAGTCCTGATCAGTGATTTTTAAAACACATCGTTCTCTTTTTCTCTCTTAAGAAAATGCCAACGGGAGCAATAGAAATCAAAGTTAAAACAGCCGAGCTTCTGAATTCCTGCAGGAAGCTGCCCTTTGAAATTAAAGACTTTGTGAAGGTACCATCCTCTATTATTAATAAAAGAATCTAGAAAATGATGACCACTGAAGTATTTTCAGAGATTTTTGTTTTGTTTACCTTCTACAAAATTAAACATTTTATTATGAAAGAATCATGAATTGTTCTGCTCTAAAATTTCTTGACAAGTTTGTTTTGGTTTGGTTTTTTAGACAGACTCACTGTGTAACTCAGGTTGGCCTTGAGTACAGGGGTTTGAACCCAGAGCCTTCACACTGAGCCACATTCTCAGGATGGTTCACCTCCCCCATTTTTTTTT